TGGCTATTCCAGCTGTTGCTACTGACGGGGCTGGCCCCGTTTCAACAACGTCAGCTTCAATTGCTTCGCCTAATAGAGTTCCCTTTTGCAAAACTATCTTGTTGTTCGTTACATTAAGTAAACTGACACATGGCAAAGAACTAGCATTGTAATAACCACGTGGGATTAACAAATCTATCTCTTTATTAGGTTCAATTATAAAATCAGTTAACTCTGCTGACAAATCTTACTCTAATTGTACAACTGAATTAGGAGGTATGACTGTTCTATGTGGAACGGTAATTTTAGCTACTCTTGCTATAACGTTCACAGGCGGTACCAGTCCAATATGTCCATGTACCATAGGTAGTGCTTCTCCATTGACGAAAAAAATTAATTTTCTGCAGTCTAAAATTACTTTTGCTTTGACTAGAAAATCAAGTCCTAATAGCATGTCATTATCAATAGGTGCAACATAAATATCTGTCCTATATGTTCTTTCACCAATTTGTAATTCAACTGGTCCCACTACAAACGCATCCATGTGCATACCACGCCCTGCTGCATGCATTGTTGCTTTTCTTTTCATGGGTGGTTTTTTGCTAAGAGATTCATAAACTTTGTCAGAAATGATTGTTACTTCTGCTGCGGTATCTACTACCGAAATTACAGGCTGTCCATGCACTTTTAAAGTGAATCGAAGCATAGATGCTGAGCCTAACTGGCAAATAGTTCCTCCTAAGTGTACGGGATCTTGCAACTGAAGGTCAATTACTTTCTGTAAATCATTATCAGGCTGCGTTGTGTGCAACAGTGAATTAGACAGAGTATCTGTGGATGTTGACATATCACATGTTTTCAACGGGATAATCCCCGAAACAGGTGTCTTGTTTCTTTCGTTTGAAATAGTGTTCAACGTTAGGCGGTTAGGTGTGGTCTGAGTCAGGGTTCCGCCCTTTAGCCCGACTCTTTCTGGTTTAAATGGTCTGTGTAATTTTTTCCTGTTGATGAATGCAAGTCAGAACAGTCCCGTTGTATATGGCCAAACTGGTGACAGAAATAGCAAGCCATATTTGCTAATTTTTCAGGTGGAATAGGTCCCCAGCGCCTTTTAAATTGTGATTGTCGCTGATTATCTTGCCTATTTTCCCTGTTACGCCATTGTTGGCGATTACCTTGATTTTGTTGGCTGAATGGTTGGGTTGCTGGCTGGACTTCATTTTGTGCAGGAAACTGTTTTGCCTGCTGTTGTTTTTGAAGCTGCTGTTTAATGTCTCCAATTTCCTGCTTATGAAATGCTTCCATAGCAGTCATTTTCTCTAGCAATGTTTTTTTGTGTCCGTCTTACCCATAGCGTGAACAGCTAGGTCGCTATCATAATCACTTGGTTCATCCTGATTTGGTGTTGGGTCACGTCTACCGGTTGGTTTACCAAATATAGCTGTGTGGTTATGTTGGAACCATTTTATCTGGTCATTTGCTGCTTCAACAGATGTTGGTCTGGCGGTGGCTCCATGTTGACCAGCTTCTTTATCTGAGCATCCCTGGCATATTTTCCAGATAGCTTGTGTATACATATAACTGTCGGGAAGATTTCTAAAGGCTTTACAGGCTAACGAGAGAACTCGGTCTGCCCAATCTTCCAATTTCTCATTTGTATTTTGTCGTGCACTCATGAACTGAACTTGCAACGTCTCTGGTAAGTCTTGAAAATTGAACCTTTTCTCTAATTTGTGAATTAATTCAAAGTAATCCACACCTTGGTCTCTATCCAGTAAATTTGCATAGTAATCACCTGCTTTACCATGTAAACACCAACACAGTTGGTCTTTTCGTTCCGTGGTAGTCCACGATAAACGATCAGCATACGTATGAAACTTGGTGTAAAAAGTTTTCCAACTTGAGGAACCATCATACTTCAGTCCTTTAGGTATTTCTAGGTTCTTTGATTTTGGCTTAGCTGGAGGCAATAATTGCGGCGACTCCCCATAACTTAAATATGGTCTTGGAGGGTACATATTTCTGTTTATTGTAGAAGAGTATGTTGGATTTGGTGTTCTCAAGGAATATACTGGTTCCCTAAATATTTCTGGTGAAGGTATTCTGCGACGGATTTCAGGTGTAGGTATTCTGCGTCGGATTTCTGGTGAAGGTATATGTGATTCTACCTGTTGACGACGTCTTGGGACTGGAACTGGCCTTTCTAATCTAGGTTCGTGCTCGTTGGGCCCTTGCTGCCATCCCAATTGCTTTGTCTGCTGTTGTGTATTTTGATTACGTGAATAATCACGTTTTTCAATGTGCTCATTGGGACCTTGCTGCCATCCCAATTGTGATGTCTGCTGCTGTGTATTTTGGTTACGTGAATAATCACGTTTTTCAATGTTTTCCTCAACATTTAATCTGATTCTTGGTTTCGTGTACCCTAATTCATCTGTTCTATGAATTTTGTCTGTCTTAAACTGTCGATCAATTGAAAAATCTTGAACTTGATCCTGGTCATCATACTTGGTTTGTAGTAATGGTTTTCTTTCATCAGGTCTTGACAATTTTGTTGAATACTGGTGGTCCCCATACTGCAAAGTGTAATGTAATGGCTTGCTCATCGCTGAACTGGGACGTGATAACTCACGTTTGACTTCCTCAGGCTCAGGTTTAAGCAAACATTCATCAGAAGGTGTGTCAGAATCTGAAAAGTCATTGATTTCTGCTTCTCGTCTTGCATATTCCGAATGAAATCCAGATGTTTTAACTTCACCATAATCAACATAGTCTTGTAAATCATAACTTGACTGAGTCCGTAATTTGTATTCTTGTAGCTGTATAACTGGTGAAAAATCTATCAAATCCATCAAGGCTTCAGTAATTCTTAGTCTTGGTATTTCAGAAAGATGCTCAGGCTGAATATTACCAAATGTCTCTCTCATAGACATAATCTTGTCAGCTATGACATTTCCCACACCAGGTAACAACCTTAATTCTTCATAAGAACAGCTGTTAATTTTTACACATTGCTGCTGAAAAGCTAATGTTGTCATAATGTTATATTAACACAAACACAGTTCAATTAAATCACTGGTTGCTGAACCAGAAAAAAAAAAATTAATGTGTATGTGCTATGTGGCTAACCACACAAAAAAAAAACGGCAAATTTTTCCGAAAGTGGCTAATTTTCTCCAAATTGCTCTGATAACGGCTAATTTGTCTAATTTCTACACAAAACGGCTAATTTTAGCAAAACGTAAAACAATTTTCGAAAATAAATTCTGTAATTAACGCAAGTTTTTATGCTTATATTATCTCCGTGTTCAAACACTTCATAATATACCAAATATAGCAATATGAACTTCGCAATTACACGTGACGTACTCACTTCTGTGTCTCGATTCAAATCGTACTTTATCACAGGAAACCCTGCTCGCCAAGCGCCAGTGATGTGATTTCCGAGTATTATCACTCAATACTAATACTACTAATACAATTCAACGCCTCTAATTGTACTAACTTACCAAATATCCTATGATACGCTCTGGTAATATGTTTTTCGCTCGCTATATATTCCCGCCAATACGCCAACTCTCGTTACCTGGTAACTATCTGAGATCTTATCCTGAGTTAGGTAGTTTACAATGGATCATTCCGGGAACCGGGCTACGCGGTATATCTAACTACCGTACTGTCTACATAGTAATGTCACGTCCATTATACCATATTACACAACACTAGACAGACTATTACAACAAAGACAATTGCATATTGAAAACGGATCTTTTTAGAGTCACAAAACTATTTCAAAAAGAATCTGACTATTGTTGATATAAAAACATATAATCCCGAAAGAATGAGAGTTGGTTTTTTTTTGTCATTTTCCTCTTCGTTTAGTTTTTGCTTATTTCTATTTGTCTCCAGAAAATTAGTAAGACTTGCGTAGAGCTGCCGGCTAATGTCTCCAAAACTGTGTGTACGTTAAATCCTTAGTTTTTTGCTTGACACCCAGAAAAAGAAAGTAGTACATATATTAAACAAAATAGTTCCTAAACATAACTGTAACTATGTCCAAAAGTAAAAGAAAATGGATAATTAATTGATATCAAATGAAAGGCTCCACGTCTTGGGATCACCGTAGGACCTTTGATGAAAGTTTCTCATGAATAATAAAATAATTATATGAAATTATGATATGGGGCCATATTTGCCCTGTTGCTCAGATCAGAAGTACCTGTTTTTTTTATACTCCTTTACTTTTGGGAACCAGTGCGCTCTATTATGCAATTAAAGATATGTTGAGTTTTCAGCACAGTCAAGTCAGGATAAAATAGTTTTGCTATAAAATGACTGCCACTTTATTTGAACTTAAGACAAAATAGCTGTAAATGGTTAAAATTGTGTAGTGGTTCGGTTCCAGAAAACACATTTGAAGCACGTGCGTGTCTGTGGTTCTGTAGAATTCTTTCTTTCTTCACTCCGAAAATACAAAAAAGCAAATGTTTAAGTAGACTAGACACAAATGCAATATCTTTACGATTTGATTAAACTATTGCTTTAGATTCGACAATAAAAAGAAATCAAAATAAAACAGACAGTCATAATTTTATATCTACAGAGTCACACACATATATATTTATTATACCCCACTCAACGAGTTGCGGAGGGTATAATGTTTTTGACCCGTCCGTCAGTCCGTCAGTCCGTCAGTCCTGTTTATTGTCATCGCAACTCCTCTCAAACCACACAACAGAATTTCACGAAACCTTTTTAGATAATAAGGACATACTATGTAGTTGTGCGTATCGACAGGAAATTACGATTCAATTTTTTTTCTAGGAGTAACGCCCATTTGAACCTATTTACTTTTATGTACTACTGCAACAGTTTGTCATCGCAACTCCTCTCAAACCACACAACAGAATTTCATGAAACCTTTTCAGATAATAAGGACATACTACGTAGATGTGCATGTCGACAGGAAATTACGATTCAATTTTTTTCCAGGAGTTACGCCCCTTTGAACTTATTTGCCCAATATACTACTGCAACCTTTTGTCATCGCAACTCCTCTCAAACCACACAACAGAATTTCATGAAACCTTTTCAGATAATAAGGACATACTATGTAGATGTGCATATCGACAGGAAATTACGATTCAATTTTTTTTCCAGGAGTTACGCCCCTTTGAACTTATTTGCCCAATGTACTACTGCAACCTTTTGTCATCGCAACTCCTCTCAAACCACACAGAAGAAATTCATGAAACCTTTTCAGATAATAAGGACATACTACGTAGATGTGCATGTCGACAGGAAATTACGATTCAATTTTTTTCCAGGAGTTACGCCCCTTTGAACTTATTTGCCCAATATACTACTGCAACCTTTTGTCATCGCAACTCCTCTCAAACCACACAACAGAATTTCATGAAACCTTTTCAGATAATAAGGACATACTATGTAGATGTGCATATCGACAGGAAATTACGATTCAATTTTTTTTCCAGGAGTTACGCCCCTTTGAACTTATTTGCCCAATATACTACTGCAACCTTTTGTCATCGCAACTCCTCTCAAACCACACAACAGAATTTCATGAAACCTTTTCAGATAATAAGGACATACTATGTAGATGTGCATATCGACAGGAAATTACGATTCAATTTTTTTTCCAGGAGTTACGCCCCTTTGAACTTATTTGCCCAATATACTACTGCAACCTTTTGTCATCGCAACTCCTCTCAAACCACACAACAGAATTTCATGAAACCTTTTCAGATAATAAGGACATACTAAGTAGATGTGCATATCGACAGGAAATACGATTCAATTTTTTTTCCAGGAGTTACGCCCCTTTGAACTTATTTGCCCAATATGCTACTGCAACCTTTTGTCATCGCAACTCCTCTCAAACCACACAACAGAATTTCATGAAACTGTGTAGATAACAAGGACATACTATGTAGATTTGCATATTGACAGGAATTTATGATTAAATTTTTTTTTCTGATACCATTTTTTTTTCTTACAATTACTTTATTTCTCCAATGACAATGTGGGGACGTGCGGTATGTGAGCGCGCTCACTAAGGTTCTTTCATTTATATTAAACCACGCTGTAAATTTGTATTTATGTATGCTTTCATATGTATATTAAGATAAAAGCAATTATAGTGAAAAAGTAACTACCAGTAATTAAGAATTTGGCACTTTGGTTGCTCGTAATCGGTTGTCCTCAAATATAGTTCCTTTCGTGTTTTATGTTTGTAAAGCCATATTGTATAATTTTCGTAAAAATACAATGGCTTAAAATGCTTGCTTCCGTGTGCTTTATGACTTAATTTGATTTATACACTGTTCAGCATAAGTAAACACATGTATTATCATCATTTCACATTTTGTTTATATGTGAACTTTGAGCCAAAAACGTATAAACAATTCCTTGAATGCGGACGTAACCCTGTAGAAATTCTTATCATTTCGGCAATAGAAGTCATAAAAATTGGTATATTGATTGTAAAGTCTAGTACCCGAAAAAAACGTAAGTTTCTTAGTTACTGAATGATGCATGTAATAAATGACTACGAGATGCAGTTAAAGAAAATGTGCAATCACTTGCCTTTTAACCATACCCCTTTTATCAAAATAAAAAATAGTCCACATAGCCAACTGCTGTCGTAAAGTTATTAAACGTACTCTTGGTCATTAAAAAGTCTTGCATCGTGTAATGACTAAATTAAAAGGTCGCCACACATCTCTTTTGATGTTAATCCTGACCTTCATACGCAGGCCTAATCTCTGTCTAGCCTTCATTCTTCAATGTCTTCTTTTATCTTTTTGTTTTGATTTTTTCTTCTTTCTTCTCTTGCTTCCTCCACCAATAAAAACTGGCCGCCACGAAATAACCCAAAAGCGGTGCTTAAAAATGGCGTTAAAATACCAAAAAATCAAAATCAAATCTTTCTTCTCTTCTCCTCGTTTTTCAAATGCAAAGCTCTGTTTTGTACCATAAATAATACTCTCCAAATAATTTCAAGTATAGAATTATTAAATTTTATTAATTTACATCAAAGTATGTAACCCTCATAATCTTGTTAACAACAAATTATTTGATGCGACAAAAGATGATATGTGTATGGAACTTTTGAAATAAACAATGACGAAATAATTTAAAGAAACCAAGAAATTATGTTTATGTTTGATATATAGTTTTAGTTTCCATCGTGTAAAATGACGATATCATGTAGGATGTTGCGAAAACAAGAGAAAAAAGTCTGGTAGTAGCAGCTAAATGCAGATTTCATTGCTTGATTCAAGAGCTTGATTCAAATAATACAAGTTGATCAAACTATTGCTTTAGATTCGACAATAAAAAGAAATCAAAATAAAACAAACAGACGGTCATTATTTGATATCTACAGAGTCACACACACATATATTTATTTTGTGAAAAAGTAACTACCCGTAATTATGAATTTGCCACTTAGGTTGCTCGTAATCGGTTGTCCTCAAATATAGTTCCTTTCGTGTTGTATGTTTGTAAAGAAATTGAGAATGGAAAAGGGGAATATGTCAAAGAGACAACAATCCGACCAAAGAGCAGACAACAGCCGAAGGCCACCAATGGGTCTTCAACGCAGCGAGAAACTCCCGCACCCGGAGGTGGTCATCAGCTGGCCCCTAAATAAAATTGTGTACTAGTTCAGTGAAAATGGACGTCACACTAAACTCCAAAACATATAAATGATCTAAAATTAAAAAACATACAAGACTAACAAAGGACAGAGGCTCCTGACTTTGGACAGGCGCAAAAATGCGGCGGGGTTAAACATGTTTTTTGCGATCTCAACCCTCCCCCTATACATCTAGCCAATGTAGAATAAAGAAACACATAGTAATACGCACAGTAAAACTCAGTTCAAAAGAAGTCCGAGTCCGATGTAAGAATAAGTAACAAAAGAAACCAAGCAAAATGACAATGATACATAAATGAACAAAGGACTACTAGCAGTTACTGACATGCCAGCTCCAGACCTCAATTAAACTGATTGAAAGATTATGTCTTCATCATATGAAAATCAAGTACAATCCCTCCCGTTAGGGGTTAAGTATCATACCATCATAAAATATATGAGAAGAACATAACCCGTATCATGCCAACAACTGGTTTTAGAATAAATGTGTTTATTTCCGATGCAAAGACCCTGTGAGTGAATCAATATTAATACCAAAATATGCAATCCTTAATGACTTGACAACAGTATTGTAACTATATCCTTTCCGAATAAGTCTGTTTAAAGGTTTGGTTAGCTTTTGAGGTGAATGCCGACATTTTTGTGCTTTGTAAAGAATATTACCATAAAATATTGGATGTGAAATACTTGAACGTATAAGATGTCTGCATGTTGATTTATATTTACGAATGATGTCCTTGTACCGATGATAAAATTTAGTAAAGTTTTGACTAGTTTGTGATATCGAAAACCCTGGTGTAATAATTTTTCAGTAATACAGAGATTTCTTTCGTTGAAATCAAATACGTTGTTACATACACGAGCGAATCGAACAATTTGAGATATATAAACACCATAAGATGGTAACAAGGGAACGTCACCATCTAAAAATGGATAATTAACAATAGGAAATGAAAAATCATCTCTTTTATCATAAATTTTGGTATTAAGCTTCCCGTTAAAGATATAGATATCAAGATCCAGGAAAGGGCAGTGTTCATTGTTAGTATTAGCTTTATTTAAAGTCAGTTCGGCAGGATAAATCTCGTTTAGTGTACATACTGAAGTCGTCATTATTGAGAGCCAATATATCATCTAAATATCTAAAAGTGTTATTAAATTTTTGAATCAGATGTTGTTTCGATGGGTCTTTGCTGATTTTAGTCATAAATTGTAACTCATAACAATACAGAAACAGGTCCGCAATAAGTGGTGCACAGTTAGTCCCCATGGGACTTCCGATAACCTGACGATATACGGAATCTCCATAGCGAACAAAAATGTTATCTAGTAAAATTCAAGGGCAGTTATAGGATCAAAGCAGGTCCAATTGACATAGTTCTTTTGTTTGTTGTTACTAAAAAATGACATAAAAGAGTTTGAACATATATATTCGCATTCCGACTTTTTAAATGCCCATTTAATCAGGTGTGTGATTTTTTTCTTAATAAGATTATGAGGCAAAGTGGTATATAGGGTAGAAAAATCAAAACTTTGAACATATTCGAAATCACCAATATAAGCATGCAATTTACCAAGTACTTCCAACGAATTTTTGACACTCCAAAGGTAATTAATTCCACTATTTTCAAAGGCCTTATTTGAACAATTAATTACCAGGTTTTTGATTGTACCAAGTGTACTAGTAAGTAGAATAGATAATTTAGTAGTGGAACAATAGCTTGAAGACGAAATAAATCTATATTTGTAAGGAGTTTCGTGCAGCTTCGGAATCAAGTACATAGTTGGAACTTTCATTGTATTTGGTTCTGCTTGTAAAGAGTTAGCTAAAAGTTTATGTTTGTTACAGATGTCATTTTCGTATAATTTTCGTAAAAAAACAATGGCTTAAAATGCATGCTTCTGTGCGCTTTATGACTTACCTTGATTTCTACTCTGTTCAGCATAAGTAAACACATGTATTATCATCATTTCACATTTTGTTTATATGTGAACTTTGAGCATTCAATTAATGTCTTCACTGGGAACCTCGGAGCCAAAACCGTAACTTTTGCGTTAACGGGGACGTAACCCTGTAGAAATTCTTATCATTTTGGCAATAAAATTCATATAAATTGATCTATTGATTGTAAAATTTCTAGTACCCGAAAAACACGGAAGTTTCTTAGTTAATGAATGATGAATGTAATAAATGACTACGAGATGCAGTTAAAGAAAATGTGCAATCACTTGCCATTTAACCATACCCCTTTTATCAAAATAAAAAATAGTCCACATAGCCAACTGCTGTCGTAAAGTTATTAAACGTACTTTTGGTAATTAAAAAGTCTAACATCGTGTAATGACTAAATTTAAAGGTCGCCACACATCTCTTGTGATGTCAATTCTGGCCTTTATACGCAGGCCTAATCTCAGTCTAGCCTTCATTCTTCAATGTCTTCTTTTATCTTTTTGTTTCAAATTTGCGTTCTTTTTTCTCTTCACCTCTTTTTTTCTAATGCAAAGCTCTGTTTTGTACCATAACAAATACTCTCCTTATAATTTCAACTATAGAATTATTAAATTTTATAAATTTACATCAAGGTATGTAACCCTTATAATCCTATTTACGTCAAATTATTGGATGCGACAAAAGATGATATGTGTATGAAACTTTTGAAATAAACAATGACGAAATAGTTTAAAGAAACCAAGAAATTATGTTTATGTTCGATATATAGTTTTAGTTTCCATCGTGTAAAATGACGATATCATGTAGGATGTAGCGAAAACAAGAGCAAAAAGCCTGGTAGTAGCAGCTAATTGCAGATTTCATTGCTTGATTCAAGAGCTTGATACAAATAATACAAGTTGATCAAACTATTGCTTTAGATTCGACAATAAAAAGAAATCAAAATAAAACAAACAGACAGTCATCATTTAATATCTACAGAGTCACACACACATGTATTTATTTATATTAAACCACGCTGTAAATTTGTATTTATGTATGCTTTCATATGTATATTAAGATAAAAGCAATAGTGAAAAAAGAAACTACAAGTTATTAAGAATTTGGCACTTTGGTTGCTCGTTATCGGTTGTCCTCAAATATAGTTCCTCTCGTGTTTTATGTTTGTTAAGCCATATTGTATCATTTTCGTTAAAATGCAATGGCTTAAAATGCTTGCTTCCGTGTGCTTTATGACTTATTTTGATTTCTACTCTGTTCAGCATTAGT